TGTGTTTATCTTTTTGAATGCTTAGTAATATTCCATGGTGTATATGTACCACATCTTCTTGATTCAGTCATCTATTTTTGGGCATTTGGGTTGTTTCCAAAGCTTAGCTATTGTAAATAGTGCTGCTTCTGTGTCCTTTGCGTAAATACCTAGGAGTGGAATTGCTGGATCATGGGTAGTTCTTTTAACATCTATTTTCTTTTTAAAGATTTTATTTATTCATTTATACAAGCACTGGGTACGTTCAGAAGCACGGGAGGGTGAGAGAATTCACCAGAGCCAGAGCGGGGGGCAGAACAGGCAGACTGATGAAATACACTGCTGAGGGGAGCAGTGGGCGGCAGGAGAGGTCTTTGCACCATGTGGGACCCTCGCAGGTGGGCGGGGATCGAACTGGTGCTGCAGAGGCTGTGAGCAGCTTCGCAGCCCAGAGCTCAACCGCTGCACCACCAGGGGAGGCCCAAAAGTTTTTTTTTTTTTTTTAAAGATTTATTTATTTATGTATACAAGAGCTAGGGTACAGGCCAGAGAGAGATGTGTGTGTGTGTGTGCGTGTGTGTGTGAGGGGCGGGGAGAGGATTCACCAGAGACAGAATGGGGAACAGTACAGGCAGGCAGACTGAAATACACTGCTGAAGGGAACAGGAGGGTTCCGCTGTGCCATGTGGGTAGCTTCCTGGCCAGCCGGGGATCGAACTTGTGCTGCAGAGGCCGTGGATTGCTTCATAGTGTGGTGCTTAACCCCTTTCAACACTAGGGAGGCTCCCTTAAAACATTTTTATAATTGAACAAAAGCTAAGTAAGTTTCTAGGAAAGCATATCTTCTTATTTGTGGATAATAGATGCTAGGTAATTTTGTGATGTTAAAAATGATAGTCCTAGTAGTTTTCTTTTGGACACTTTATAGTAGAGGAACCCTTTCAGCTTGTGTGTGAGTTATGCATTCCTTAAATAACAAAAATTGTTCCTGGCACACAGTGAATGCTTAATTACCTGAACATTATTACTTTCAGTGCCTTAGTTTGTAACCTTTTTCTATATTGGATATATGTATTTACTAAAATGATACCACACCCTCTGAACATGTTTGAAGCCTTTTTATCAGTTAATCACATTTACTTTTCCATTTCCGTCAGTTTTCATCTCATCCAATATCCTTATTACACTAAAATTTCTCTTGTTGACTTAAAGATGTCTTTTACGGTGGGTTTACCAAAAATAGCATCTGGAACAGCATTGTACCTGTGAACTTGGCTGCTAAAACCTGTAAATCCTTTGAAATCAAGAAGAGCTACCTATCCCTTCCCTCCCCATCTTTTAGAATGTACTTGATTTTTAAAAGATATTTGAAAAAGAGACTAGGTTTTGTTCTTTAGACCTTTTGAATGTGTCCTGATTACTTTGTTATGATGTCATTTAGCTTGTTCTATCCCTTGTGTTTTCTTGAAATTGAAATTTATATACTTGTTGGATTCTCAGGAAGATAACTTGGCTATCATAGATGATACTGTGTCAAATTGAAAACTGATACATTACCTTGGAAGTCTGTGATTGCTGCTTGACTTTCTTGATGCTGAGATTGAACACTGAGATTGAGTGATGGCAATCTTCTCTGCCCATCATTCAATTACATCTGTCTCCTTATATTACAAAGTATTTTTGTCAGGTGTTATTTTAGCTCTGTAAGTATGTCCAGTTCCTTTTCATCCATTCATCTGTTGGTTTTTTACCATTTGTTGATTCTTGTTTAAGTAAAAATTTTATTAGGGCTTGCCAAAAAGATTTTTCTAATTTTATCCATTTATTTTTATTAACTGGTGTTTGTGAAGTGCAATTTTATCTTGTGAACTGGGGCTATTTGTTTACCCTGGAATCCAGTTCCTCCAGGTAAAGCATGATAACTTAAGTCTCCCACTTCACCAATTTTTAAAGTAAACAATTATTGAAGTGGCCATTTAAAAAAACAGTGATAAAAGGATTTTTTTGTTATCTTGTTCTATCTTCTGTTTGGGTGATATATTTTTTAAAGATTTATTTTTTTAATGCATACAAGAGCTGGGTGTAGGCCAGAGGTGTGGGGTGTGAGAGGATTCACCAGAGACAGAGTGGGGAACAGAACAGGCAGATCTACTAAAATACACTGCTGAGGGGAGCAGCGGGCGAGTCAGGAGAGGTCTGCTGCACCGTGGGTAGTTCCTTGGCTGGGGATCGAACTTGTACCGCAGTGGCTGTGGACAGCTTCACAGGCTGCATCATAACATAACCCCTTGTGCCACCAGGGAGGCCTGCTGGTTTTTTTTTTTTTTTTTAAGAGATTTGGATATTTACATTTTATCCAGGATTTTTTTTAATTGACTGCTATTTAGTTTTTTTTCCCCTTGGTGCTCAGATTGTTACACCTTTAGTTATTAGTGTGTCATCATGCTTTCTCTAAACACCTTCCTTGCTTTCTGGCACAGACAGATATCCCAGGCTAGCCATGTACCTTGTCTGTCCTAGACCTGGTATTCGCTCTTTTTTTCATGGAGTTTGATGCCTTTCAGGATTTCATATTAGATGAAATCTGGGTTCTAAAAGAGTTTATTGCTGGTAAGGGGACATGCTTTTAGACCATTTAGTGAAAAGACCTAGAAAACAGTGTTTTATGAGCATAAATTCATATTGGTATCCAAATAACCCTTGAAATAAATCCTTTCTCCTGGTCACCAGCTTGGTATTAAATCAGGTTTATTCTGATTGTTTTAAACAGATGAAATTAAAAAAAAATTTTTTTTTCATTTCTATAAGGTCAAAACTAAACAAACATCTATAGCAATCTTTTTTTTTTTTTTTTTTTTTTTTTTTAGAGATTTGTTTATTTATGCATACAAGAGCTGGGGTACAGGCCAGAGGTGCCGGGGTGGGGGTGTGTGAGAGGATTTACCAGAGAGAGAGTGGGGAGCAGAACAGGCAGAGTGACTGAAATACACTGCTGAAGGGAGCAGCAGGTGAGACAGGAGAGGTCTGCTGTGCCATGTGGGTACCTGGCCTGCCAGGGATTGAACTCATGCTGTAGAGGCTGTAGATAGCTTCATGGTGCTGTGCTTAACCCCTTGTGCCACCAGGGAGGCCCCATCTGTAGCAATCTTACTGTTCCTGCTATGCTTCTCCCCTTCTCCCCTTGTACTTCCCTTATTTGTGAAGCAAGTTTCTCTGTGCATGTGCATGCCTCTGTGTGTGTGTGTGTGTGTGTGTGTGTGTGTGTGGTTGGGGGTGGTATCAAAATTTGAGCAAATATAGATTTAAATATTTCTTTAGTCCTGTCCAAAAAGTAGCTTACTATATACAGTACTGTGCATGTTTATTTTATTTCCCATAAAATATTCTATTGATTGGTCCAATTACAACATAGTAATTTGGGGTGCATAAATGGAGTATAGACCAGAGGTGTGGGGAGGGAGTGGGTATGACTGAGAAGATTCACCAGAGAGTGGGGAGTAGAACAGGTGGATCTACTGAAATACACTGCTGAGGGGAGCAGCGGTGAGAGAGGAGAGGTCTGCTGTACCATGTGGGTTAGCTCTCTTGCTGGGGATTGAACTCATGCTGCAGTGGCTGGCAATAGCTTGATAGTGCTGAGACTTGAATCTCTGTGTCACCAGGGAGGCACTTGATAATTATTTTTTAATTGAAAATAATATTGGAATCAAGTCAATAAGTGAATGCAGCAGGAAGTAAAGAAAAAAAATCTTGAAAAGAGCTCTAGATTTGGTGAATTTTGTATTGTGTTTGGAAGATGACTGGGTTGAGAAGTAGGTGGGCAGAAAACTCTAGAGATATTCTTGAATGAAGGCATTAGGCAGATTCATTTGCTGGGAGTGAAAAGATCTGTGTCAGAAAATCATTAGATTAGATAAGATTGATGGAACCTAAGAAAAATTGATATTTGGTATTTTGGAGAAAATACATAGAAAGGTTGCTTAGTGAATTTTATTGTATTTATTAAAAATATTTATTTAAATATATGTTTTTTTACGTCAGACTTTAAACCCTGAACCACCAGAAAAGTTCTACATCTTTGGACATTCTTTCATAATGTTTGATTTTCCCTCTCAGGTATAATCCCCATAAAATTCCTACCATCATGTCGCTAGTGAACCATCACTATAGTCACTTGTGCTTTTCCCTTCCACTGCCTTGCTGTATGTCTCCAATTTATAGTTTGCCTACTAGTTTTGTCTTTTTTTCTTTACGTACCCCTTGTTTAGTTTCCCTAAATACCTCCTATAAATTTGACCATCCAATATTTTTGTTTCTTCTGACTTATTTCATGATGAATTTTTATAGTTTGATAAATTCTTGAATAAGAAATTTGTTTTTATGCCAAGTATAGTGTGTAACTTAAGTGAATATAATGGGCATGCTGAATATTGATTACTTTGATTGGAAATAAGAAAAAGTTTTTACCTCTGCTTAGCATTAAGTAATCAGTAACAAGGGCTGGAAGAGATCTTAGTGGTTGTCTTACCCTAATCATCATACTAATAAGAAATTGAAGCCTAGTTGTCATAAGCAACTAGTTAGAGGCATAGCCACTTCCTAATCTGACATCTTGACCTTTAGTTGTATCTGCTTTTTATAACAGTGAAAAACGAGAAGTTGTACAGCCTTTTTATTTTTATCTTTTATTTTTTCCTCAGGATACTTTATTTCTATGTCTTATGCCTGAGATTTTTCTTAGTTTTTTCATCTACATCAAAGTACTGTCAATATGGAAGTTACTTTTTATCGTGGGTGCATATTTAATATACTAAGTAAAGGGATTTAAACATTATTTTGACATTTGTTTTTGAAATTAATGTGTTTTTACTCATAATAGTTTACAGATAGATATATTTGACATTTTATTAGCATAGCTATGATGATGGTTAAACCTTGCTTTCTATAATCAGCTGATGTTTAAAACATGTACTTGTGGTATTGTTGCATGTTTCAGATATTTCCTTAATTTAAATGTGCAGATATTTATCCAAACATTATTGCTATGGGGTTTCCTGCAGAAAGACTTGAAGGCGTATACAGGAACAATATTGATGATGTAGTAAGGTAAGAACACTTAATTTTCTATTTCAAATATTTATGTGTTATACATTCATGTTGTATTTTTATTTAGAAAATAAATTACAGAAAAAGATGGAATTTTAATGTAAACTTTGTTGTTTTGTTAGTGCTCCATAACTCCATCCCCCAAGCCCCTTAACGAATCTAACGGACTTTAATAGGATATAACTTATTTGATAAGAGCTGACTTTTTACATAGTCGGATATATTTGATATGATTATTTATTTATTTATTTATTTATTTATTTATTTATTTATTTATTTATTTATTTATACAAGCACTGGGTACAGTCAGAAGCGCGGGAGGGTGAGAGAATTCACCAGAGCCAGAGCAGGGAGCAAAGCAGGCAGAAGGACTGAAGTACACTGCTGAGGGGAGCAGCGGGTGGCAGGAGAGGTCTGCGCTCCATGTGGGACCCTCCTCCGGTGGCCCGGGAGCAGCCGGGGATCGAACTGGCGCTGCAGAGGCTGCAGGCAGCTTCGCAACTCAGCGCTCAACTGCTGCGCCACCGGAGAGGCCCTATTTGATACGATTTTATGGCCTCCATAAAATGCCTCTTACCAGATTAATTCCTGGGTCCTATTACAATATGATATTTTAAAAAGATTTACTTTATTTATGCATATGAGACCTGGGGTAGACCAGAGGTGGGGGGTGTTTGTGAGAATATTCACCAGAGACAGAGTAGGAAGCAGAACAGGCAGATCTGCTGAAATACACTGCTAAGGGGAGCAGCGGGCAAGACAGGAGAGATCTGGTCTGCACCATGTGGGTTAGCTCCCTGGCGGGGGACTGAACTCACTCATGCTGCAATGCCTGGCGATAGCTTGATAACATTGAGACTTTATCCCTGCCACCAGGATGCCCTACAATATGATTTAACTGCTGCCACCAGGAGGCCCTACATATGATTTTTTATCTTTTATTTCACAATTGGGCTTAGGTTTAAAATCATTTAGTGATTTGTTCACTTAAATTTATTCATCCTAAGGCATAGATAACTATTTTTATACCATGTAATTTTACATAAAACAGTTTTAATGGGGCATAAGTGTACCAAAGTAGTGTTTTTTTTTTTTTTTTTTAAGAATTTATTTATGCATGCATATAAGAGCTGGGGTAAAGGCCAGAGATGCGGGGGGTGAGAGGATTTATCAGAGACAGAGTGGGAAACAGAGCAAGCAGACTGACTGAAATACACTGCTGAGGGAGCAGCTGGTGAGACAGGAGAGGTGTGCTGCTCCATGTGGGTTGCTCCCTGGCTGGCCAGGGATTGAACTCGTGCTACAGAGGCTTCAGATTGCTTCATAGTGTGGTGCTTAACCCCTTGAGCCACCAGATAGGCCCCAAAGTAGTGTTTGATACAAGAATCTAGAAAGGAATTGCCAGGCATAACAAAGTCTCATTTTGTCTATTTTATAATTTTGATTACACGAGAGTACATGATGTATTTTATGAGTTTGTCTATTACGTAAATATTCTTAATATTTTTTTTATTTCAAGAAAATGTATGAATAACTGAAAATTGTCAGGAAGACATTTAATTACTTTTATTTATTTATTTATTTATTTTTTTAATAGAGGCATGTTTTTTATTTATTTATTTGTTTGTTTTGTTTGTTTTTTTCTTTATACATGCACTGGGTACAGTCAGAAGCGCGGGAGGGTGAGAGAATTCACCAGAGCCAGAGCGGGGAGCAGAGCAGGCAGAAGGACCAAAGTACACTGCTGAGGGGAGCAGCGGGCGGCAGGAGAGGTCTGCTCGCCATGTGGGACCCTCCTCCAGTGGCCGGGGAGCAACCGGGGATTGAACCCGCGCTGCAGAGGCCGCGGGCAGCTTCGCAACCCAGCGCTCAACTGCTGCGCCACCGGGGAGGCCCATTTAATTACTTTTAAAAGTAAAATATGGAGTATTCTTTTAAAAGTAAAATCTGGAATATTCCGTTTGCCTTCTTTCATAAGTATCTTTCTTGGAGACTTTCAATTTAAATATTTGTTGGTTATCAGAATTAAATGTTGTAACAGGTTGGGTAAGCACTTTTTAAAGCACAATGCAGATGTAGAATCATTATATAATAGTTGTATTAGGATATAGGGGCCTCCCTGGTGGCACAAGGGGTTAAGATGCAACCTATGAAGCAATCCACAGCCACTGCAGTACAGGTTCAATCCCTAGCCAGGGAGCTACCCATATGGTGTAGCAGACCTCTCTTGACTCGCCCGCTGCTCCCCTCAGCAGTGTTTTTCAATGAATCTGCCTGTTCTGTTCCCCACTCTGGTGAATTCTCTCACCCCCCCCCCAAATACCTCTGGCCTGTACCCCAGTTATTGTGTGCATAAATAAATCTTAAAAAAAATAGTTATATTACGATATAAACCTTCCTCAGTGGTTATTGTTTAGCAGTTTCCTTTGAACCATTTTTGCAGTACATTTGTCCTTTAATATCTGTGGGGCATTGGTTCCAGCATTCCCTTGGTTACCAAAATCTGTAGGTGCTCAAGTCCTTTATATAATAAAATGGTATGGTATTTGCATGTAATCTACATACATATTCTCCCATATACTTTAAACAATCTGTGTAGTACTTATATCTAATAAAATGTAACACAATGTAAATTGTTATTGTTTGGGGAGTAATGAAAAGCAATGCTCTAAATCTTCAGTACAGCTGTAGGCATTGCAGACCTAACTATATATTATGTAACCATTTGTGGTTGGTTGAATTTGTGGATGCAGAAGTTGTGAATATGGAGGGTCAACTGTGTTGAATTGTGTGCACTTGGTTTTGTATGTTGCTTATATTGTATTGATAATTAAATTTCAGTATCTAAAAAAACTAAAATATCTCAAAACTACTTCTTACAGTTTTATTTCTCTTACAATTATAGGTGGTTCACGAGACTGTCAGAGATACTATTTAAGAGCTTATAAATAGAGAAATGAATTTGCATTCTTATAGTTTAGGCAGGACACAGCGGAATGGTACTTACCACTGCAGATCCATGCAAAGCAGCAGTTTTATATAGCTTAGTCATTGATAATACACATTTACAGAAAATTCAATAGGGTAATAGAAAAAGAATGAGGGAATTAAACTTTGAATCAAGAGTTGAGAATCTGAGAAATCAGCAGGACAGTCACCAGACATGTATTCTCAGCTTTGGTGCAAAAATGTTTGTTAAACCTCTTTATGACCTAGATGAAATATTGTACAAGGTTATTTCCTTCACATTACTGTAATTTTGAATTCAACCAAGTACTATCCTATCAAGTCGGATTAATATACGAAGAAAGAGTGGTAGTGGTCTGTATAGAGAACATGTTATCTCTCGTTGTAAAAGTGAACTTGTGGTAAATTAATCTGGTGTGCTAGTTGTTACAATGGTCACTTTTGAATGTGAAGTAGTCTCTTCTGTGAATTAGTCATTAAGGTAGAATGATAATTTTTAGGTTAATTGCTAAAGTCCAGTTTTTGGCTCTATACATTTGTGGGGTTTTTTTTTTTTTAGATTTATTTATTTTTTAAAATATTTATTTATGCATACAAGAACTGGGGTATGGGCCAGAGGTGCAGGTGTGTGTGTGTGAAAGAGAGAGAGAGGGAGAGGATTCACCATGCTGCAGTGGCTGCGGATAGCTTCTCAGTGCTGTGCTTAACCCCTTGTGCCACTAGGGAGACCCCAGACTGTATGCATTTGTTTATCAGAGCATAATGTAATTTCATGGAGAAAGCACTGTGTTGAGTATTTTCATCTGTCGTGTTTAGACTTTATAACCCCTGCCTTCATGCCTCTGAATGATTCATACACTTAAGTTTGTAATCTGTAACCAGTGCTTCTATGTATCTGGTTTATTTTATCTAGCCTTAAGAGTTTCACACTTGCTATTACAAAGAAATTGTTTATGCATATGGATTGTTATTTAGCCAGTGGTTGCTTTAGTCCATTGTGGTAATAGTTAAAGATAATAGCATATAAAAATGAAGAATTATCAGCTGAGTATAATAGCTATGCTGTGCTGTTTTCCTTCCTTCCCTCTTTTGCTGCCTGTTTCTATCCCTCCCTTCCTTGAGGAATACATGACCAGTAATGGCTTTGATGGCTTCTGTTGTTCTCCCCACTTCCCTTCATCCTGGAAAGGATTAACTAGTCACCTGAGAAGGAAACTGTAGTCTTTCCTCTGAATTAACAAGAAAATAAATAATTCCTAAGTAATTTGCTTATTAGAATCAACCGCTCAAAGGGAATGATTGTCTTCAGTATATAAATGATTGATTTGATTGGCTCACACTATATTAGAGATAGTAGTAATAATTGGTAGTTACTCCTTTTTGGTTCAAAGATGATGTCAAAAATATCTTTTTTTACACCTTTTATATGAACAATGTTTTAGTTACTGTTTACTTTGCTCTTTCTTCTATAATTTCACGTATTTCCTGTGATTTCCCTCTCAAATAGGAAAAATTTCAGACATTTTGTTGTTGTTACACATTGTTGTAACAAAATTGATGCATCATGTGTTAAATAGCCATGGCTTCAAAACTCCCCTAATAATCAGAAAAAAGGTTTAAGTAGAGGTGTACTGATTTTTTTTTAAAGATTTATGTATTTATGCATACAAGAACTGGGGTATAAGCCAGAGGTGTGGGGAGGGCAGGTGAGAGGATTCACCAGAGACAGAGTGGGGAGCAGAACAGGCAGATTGACTGAAATACACTGCTGAGGGGAGCAACAGGAGAGACAGGAGAGGTCTGCTGTGCCATGTGGCTTACCTCCCTGGCTGGGGATCGAATTTGTCTACAGTAGCTACGGATAGTGCTGACCGTAACCCCTTGCGCTACCAGGGAGGCCCTGAACTGATTTTCTTACTGTAGAACCTTCAGTGTGCCACTGTACATTGTAAACCCCCGAAGATTTAATTCTTATATTCTGCTTTCCTTTTTCTTTTATTCTTTTATTCCCCTCCATGTCTCCCCCCGCCTTT